GTGATTCTTGCAGCGGAGACGGCCATGCTCGTCAACTGTGGTAGCTCCTTGGAATGACTCTGCTTTGTGTTAGCATACGAGATTCGTGTTTAGTTCTTGAGGGTATGGTTTGACCTACCATTGATCATATCCTTGAGCATATTGACGACCTGTCTCTCTCCTTGGCGAATGCCATGGAAGAAGGGGTATTTGATCCCTCGTCTAAGCTGCTTGGAGCGACGCTGGTACACGCGACATAATTGCAGATTGTTAAGACCGTCCTTGAAGTCATACTTCTCGCGATACTTAGCGCGCCAGAAGGAAAGTCTGTCTGCATCAATGGCATCGTTTGTAGAGTGGCAGATCAGGCGATAATTCGCAATATCCTTGTCGTTGTCGAGTTCATGAACGATGGCCTTGTTGAGCTACCGCAGATTGTCAGCGTCTGTACATTCATATGCATGTCGGAGATACACACTTCTATAGGTAGAGAGTCGAATGCCGTAGCAGTAGTTGGGCCCAAAGGGCGAGACATGTTGATGTGAATGACTGGTATGAGGTCAAGAGATTGAGATATTCAAGGTTCCAATGCAATAGAGGAAGCGGGTTGGTGGAAGAAGAAGGACTGGCAGTATGTGAGGACGATATACGGTGGAGAGGTCACCCGCACTAGCCGCGAGTAAAGGTACGTTCCTATTGTAGAATAAGAAGTGAGGGTGGCAGGGATCCAGCTAACCGTAGACAGCCCTCGCAAAACGACGTGAAGGTGGAACTCTGCCTACCATGCCCAACTGAGCAGCACCACACACCAAATCCAGCGGCTGTGTCGGGTTATGTGCTTACTTAAAGCTCCAAGAATGTCGTCAATAATCAGCAGTTCGGATCAGGCGGGACAACTGAGGTCTTCCCCAGCGATGTGATGAGAGCGGCGGTGACGAAGAATTGCAAACGATGGTGCTGTGCTAGGATGCGTTTGCACGCGGAGGGTAAGATTCCAACGAGGTATTGCGTTGAGGTTAGCTACGAACGGTGCAGGACGGTGCCGATACAGGAAGCATGGCCGATGATTGCATAATGAGAATGCGAGGTCGAAGACGCTGAGAGCGGTTGCGGTCGCCATTGCTCGTCTTCCACATGCCTTCCTAGGAAGGTACAGCCAACGATACACAACCCAATCTGAAGGTCGGTACGATGTCCAAAAATCGGGTATACGTTTCTGCTTGATGTCAGGATATGATAGCGAGTGGTACAAGGGGCATATCGCACGACTACAGCCTTGCATTGTGTATATTGTGACTACACAAACATGATTGTAGTGCCCTTCCTTCTCATCGTCTTCTTCAGACCAGCGCGGCAACTACAGCTGCACCAACAGCCCAATAGCTTCCACTCCCAACGCCCCCTCTCACCGCAGTACCAGTAGTCTCGCTCGGCTGAGGCGCACTTCCAGATCCTGTTGGGCTCGCGCTCGCACCATTTCCAGCATCCGCCGCCTCGCTCACATCCGCAACACCACTGCCATCCTCTCTCGTAACGACGAAAATCTCGCCCGTAGAATCTGAACTCATGAATAAGCGACCCTGGGTATCCCACGCGAGACCAACGGGTCGGAAACAAGAGCCAGGGCAAGCAGAGAGGTCGGGGTTGGAGACAATATCAATAGCAGCTGTGGTGCTGTTGGCAGGTGCGACTGGCGAGCCGTTACCGTCAAACTGGAGGAAGCTGAGTTTGTAGCCGATAGGCTCTTCACGGTTCCATGAACCATGCATAGTTATCCATGCGGCAGTGCCATTGGGGTTGAACTTGATATCAAGGGGAGCCATGTGAGCGTCGAACGTGATCCTAGGAGCAATACGATCATTCTCGCAGAATGTGTCGTTCACAGTTGCGTTCTGATCTCCAATGGCAAACTGCTGGCCTGTCACTCCGCCAAAGTCTGGGATCTCGGACACATTCCATGCTGTGAAGCATGAAGGATAGCCGTAGTTGCCACCCTGTACATCGCTTCCGGTTCCATTGAGGTAACCGTGAAAGTTGAGCTCCTCACCTGGGTTGTTCTGATTAATAGTTTGTCCACTTCGCGGGATGTTGTCGACGCTGTTCTCGACAGAGTAGATACCACCTGAGACAGGTTCCTCAGCTACTCCCACCGAGTTTCTAAGACCCCAACCCAGCAACAGTCCGCTTGACGCATGATCGTATGCTGAGCCGGTCATGTTGCCCACATTGAAGGCTTTAATGGTTGAGACTCCTGTAGTCACATCCAGAGTCTGGAGATCGATGTTACCTACGCTACCACGGGAGACGAGTAGCATGTCAGGAACGGCCTGGGACATAAGTAGGGTACGTGTAGTATGACCCTCATCGTCTCCCATGCCCTCGACAACATCACGGGATTCAGATGTAGTCTGACCCTGTGACGCATCGTAGTCCCAAGCGTAGACATTGCTGTGGGAGGATGCATAGAGCGTATTACCGTCCTGCGAGAAAGCGATCCCATGATTCAACTGTTGTAATCAGTCATCAGAAACCATTTCTAGTCACGTCTCGCCCCGCACAACGCGAACACTCACAGATTCATCCTCAACTACACTCTGCACATCGCCATCAACTCTAATGCAGGCTCCATCACCCGTCAGCCTCAGCCTACTAACCCCATGCTCTTGTTCTACAACCAGCAGCCCACCTTCCCGATCGAAAATAATGCCGCGTGGATCCCTCAGCCCATTAGCCACGACCTCGACACGGAAACCCGGCGCCACCGAAGGAGCACCATTCTGTGGGGCAATGGGGCTTGCGCATGCTGTTGCAGCGGTGGATTGCGCTTTGGCCGTCAGCACAACGGAGCATACGCTCAGGCCCACCACGGCCATTAAGTGTTTCATCGCCATATTGAAGTGCTCAGAATGACGTGAGAAGTTGGCTGTCTCGGACGAAGAATTGATTTGGGCAACAAAACCGCTTCTGGCTGATCAGTCCGATGCGTGGTTGGTTAGCGAGAATGGGGAAGTTGGGGCGCGATATGCAAGGTACGGGTGTAGTCGAGCCAACAAGGACTTTCTCTCGGTGTTTACGTTGTGGAGATTGGAGGAAGTTTGTTGTGTTGATCACAAACGAGGGTATCCGACCGCTTGTGAGAAGGAACAGCGAGAAGGGCTCCAAAGCGCTGCACATATAGTCACCCCCCTCTTCTAGTAGGTAGTACAGGTGTCATTCGCCTCTCTCTTGGTGTCGTTCCCTGGTGTTGCTTGGCCTGCGCCTTCCAAGACAGGCAATCGTCATCGACCTCGGATGAATGAAAGCGCGGGGTTCTGCGATTTGCCCATTGTCAAACCATCGCAGTCTCAAGTACATGCACATGTAATTGGCGAGTACTGTAGTCTCGCCAATTCGTACTCGCCTTGGTCTTGGTGCATCAATCGTATGTTTCCACAAGGCAGGTCGCGCGACCGTTTTGATGTGGACATGCAATTGTGGAGTAGGGTTATGGAGGCTCTGTTTACCGTACGACCGATACGACCGAGCCGGCCGAGGATATTATTCCCACCCTTGGATGCGTGTATGCGCTTGCCGGGGAGTCGGACCAACAATGGCGGCTAAGCATTCCGAGACGAACGAGACAAGCAGTATAGCAAAAATCTGGTAAGCTATATCGTCTGGAAAACAGGAATATGCATCGTGGATGACAGTGCAGCAGATTAGGGCGTCTCTCGGTTAGTGGTAGCTTCGGCTTTATGACTGCAAAGCGGCATGGGCTTTATTTGTTGTGCTGTTCCAAGAATGTTGGTATAGCTTGATATATACAGTTTACCATTACGGTACAAGTGGAAAGAGCAAATCTTACAATCGTCTGCTATGTCCGCTGTATGGTCCGGTGATCTTCTGCAGGAAATATTCGTCCCGTGTGCCTTCGCTGCTCGCTGACCCGCTCGGGCAGAAGCGAATGCGAGTATGGTACGCTGCTGTACGGAGATCTGGCTGTCCGGCATGAACAAGATGCGCAGGCGATCATCAGTGCGTAAAACTGCGCCTCGTTCGGCGTTGCCTTGATAACTGGCTCATCAGAAGGCGATGCGTGGGAATGCATTAGTGGCGTGTGATTCGGCTATGGGCCTGCAGTAGTTGGCCTCGCAACAACGGCTCGGAAGCTATGGTAGTTTCAGGAAGACAACTTCAACTAACAGTTTAGATAGAGGGATGAACTCCGGCGTAACAGTCTTGTAAAAGCAAGAGGCGGTGTATACGAGCTACCTAATATGGTACTGGTAGTTGTTAAGGACTACACAATGGCCTAGACGCTCTAAGCATGATACCGTTGTCTCGGTTCCGAGAGCTAAAATTGTAGACATCACGGTCAAGTCAGTGGCGCCATTGTGTAAGATATGTTCCAAATTCTGTGGATTCGTGTCTCAAGAGACAGTGACTGTGGCCGTCAGGTATCAATGCTATGATTTTTGAGAGGACCCTCGTTGTTGTGATTCAAGATATCGTAGATCAAGAAAGACAAAGGAACAAAGAAACAAAGAGAAAACCCTCAACCCGCTTTTGTACATGACTGGAACGTGTAGAAAAGCGGCTCGCGAACTGCGCGGTATGCCCATCCCGCCAGGAGAGTATTATATGCTCAACTCCTCCACAAAGGAAACCCAATCCTGAATGCGCCATAATCTTCCATTAGACAAAACACATGCGCTTCATGTAGCATGCCTCCTCTTTTCCATGTGTATCCTGGCCGGGAGATGCTGCAACTTATGCAAAAGGAAATCGCAAATGCCATGTCGCTCCAAATGCAGTACTTGGCCTGACGTGATAATCGACGGCTGCGTAATTAATACAGGGAAATAGTTGATCAGGCCGCGAAGGCTTGATCCTCGCTCGAACGCTCTGATCCAAAGTGAAATATCTAGAAGAAACTTTTGTTTCTTCCCACAAACTTTTGCCCAGATGCGTGTGACCAGCACGAAGCGAGTCGTATGCTTCTTTTGAAATGCTCGTAAGTCGCGTCGTCTTATCCTGCGAATCTACATTACTGTCATGAGCTTCATCTGAGCCGCAAGATCCGCCTCTTGTTGATGGATCGTGCCAAATGGTGGCTCCTCGTGTAGGGGGCTCGTAAGAGGGCTGGAGTATAAGCCCTCTGCATCCCTGATTGTGTCTTTGACCTTGCGCGTCAACGTGCTGACATATGGCACGATACGTCGCAGTGTCGAGGTATCGAAAGGGACTTTCTTCGAAGGGGTCGAAGGTATGGGAGGCGCGTCTAGGAACGGTTCATACGCGCTCCTCCTCTTTTGCAGCGCTTCAATGACGGAGCGCGCTTTGGCTTCTGAGTCTTTGCGGGGTCTCGTAGCGATGGTCTTCGACTCCTGGGTAGCGGGGGTGGCGTCAGCCTCCGATTTAGCTGGTATCGGTGAAGACTGCGGGGTAAAGATTCCATTGCTCGAAGGAAGGATAGACTTCCGCAGCGGGCGCGCCGATTGGGGCGGGTTCTTGGTGCTATCCTCATGAGGAGAAGATGATTTGCGCCTTCTTCTTCCATGGCTAGGGCTTGCAGATGGGTCTTCAAAGGCGTCTTCGTCGAAATCAGGCGATGATGGTGGTGAGTCGTGAGCAACATCCTGATGATCGGCCTCCTGATCTGCAAGCTCAATCATTGCATCCACTTCAAGCCACATGCCGGAGGGTGTGCCTTGTATCATACCAAGCGCAACAGCGCGTACTCTTTGCTCTTTTAGTTCTTCGATTAACAGACCCCATTCGCGCAAGAGACTGATGTTTGCAAGAACATTGTTCTGTTGCTCTTGTATGCTCTTCGGCACGATCATTGCTGAGCTACTGTCCAGTCCAGGAGAGCTTCCGTCCTCAGCAACAGGCTCCTCGGTGAGTTCGGAAAAGTCAAAGTCGTCGTTCCAGTCTTCGGTGACACCCTTGCTTCCCACACCCCAGGTGCCAAACTTGTTTGTAACTACTGTGTTACGTTTGCCAGTCAGATCCGGGACCACGGGCACACTCTGGCTGCGAGCGTGCAACCCGCTAGGTACTCGCCGACCAACAGATCGACTGCCTCTGCGGTCTGCATCCTTCTTTCCGTGCACTGTACGGGGACGCGGCGGTGTGCGGTCTCCTGAATTCTTGTCTGCAATTTGCTGTTCAGACCAATCGAAGATGCTGCTGCGTGCGTCCTTGTCACCAAACTCTGATGTGGAATGTTGTGGCGTATTTGGGTTGGTAGTGAAGCCCGGTGCGAGTAGATGCGTGTGCTGTCGCAAAAGAGCCACAGGGTTGGCCTTGTGGTTGACTGTTGGATGATCAACCCAGGGATCCTCATCATCTGCCTCTTCTAGTGACCACCTACTACTGTCGTCGTCGTCTCCTGCGCGCGAGTCCCATTCCAGCGTGCCAAGCGAAAGCGGCTTGGGCATGCTCGGGGAAGACGACGGTATCGCCTTGGGGAAGAGCGGCGCACTGTGTGTTCGAGTGACACTAGGCGAGTCCTGCAAGGAGCGTTGGGGGCGCACTGTCCGCACGGGAGTCGATATGCTCTCCTCTTCCTCGGCGATGCTCTGGTGGCCGGCGACACCATTGACCATTGGTTCTCCAAACGATCCGGGCGGCAGTAGATCTCGTAGGGCTGTAATCTTGACCTTGGAGGGGGGCGACTCGTCGAATATAGTCTCAATGCGAGGCCCACGCGCGCCGACGGTTGAGCCTCTGGTCGCACCCGTGCGCAGCGAATCAAAGACGGTCTCGCTCTGGACGTCAGCGTCGTCCTCGTCGCCGGACCCTAAGGCGCGAAGTTCATTATCAGACGAGCCGACCAATGTCGAGGCCTGTTCTGAGGGGGCCATGGAATGACGCGAGGCCCGAACTCCCGATTGCGCTAGAGTAGGGGATGGTGGCGCTTGATTGGCGCCCGGTGCGGCTGAGGCCAAAACATCGGGCTGCTGGGGCATTGACGCCAAGGCCGCGCCAGCAACGGGATCAGTCGAGGGGAAGGTAGGGAACAAGGGCGACGAGACAGGCCTGCTCCGAGAAACATTGCGGGCAGGTGCTGTGTCAGTGGGCCCAGCGGACGTGGCGATGTCGCGTCTTGCTGGTGTTGGGTCTGTCACATCTCGTCGACTTTCTCCATATGAGGTGCTGTGTGGCCGTCTGCTCATAGTAGGCAGAATCGGTGCTGAGTTGACCCGCTGGGTTGCACGGCGGGAAAGTTTGGGTCCGGGCACTGCGACAGTTCGCTCCTTCCTGGATGAGAGGAAGGAGGTGATGGAGAAGGAGCGTTTAGGTCTGGGGGCATTCTCGGGTTGTGATGTGGAGGGCCGACCGCGAGTTTGGTTTGTTACTTTGGTAGCAAACGTGGCCGCCATGCTAAGTGGCGTCTCTGGTCGACTCACGAAGAAGACGCTTTCGGCATCGTCGCTTGTCGAGTCGTCCATATCCTCTACGCCTGCTACGACCGATCTTGCGAGCACGAGCATAGGCTTGTGCTTCTCGTCTGGAAATATCCTCTTGAACCCATTTGCATATGCCACTGAACCACGCCGCCTCGCCAGTGTCCGTTCCTTGGTGATCCTCGCTGTGAAAAACTGTGTGTATTCGACCTCACTGTCGGTGCTCGCTGAGGTCTGTTGTTCGTCTGTTGAAGTATGCTCGGCCGTCATGGATAGGCGCGCACCGTAGTTTTGCAGTGTTGCGTTGCGTTGGTGGCTGGTCGCTGGACGACGGAAGGACGGTCGGAGAGTCGCAGAGCCCAAGACAGGCGCTTCACGGGGCCCGCGCACTGACGAGGCGCGCTTGACCAGCTTGTTGCGCGGTACTGCTGACGTAGAGCGTTTGTCGATTACGGGCACGGTCGAGCCGTCGTGCGAGAAGGCCATTGAGCCATTGGAACATGAGACGGCTGGTGACAGTGGAGATGGGCTCGTAGCCCGGCTCGATGAGTTGGAAATAGACGAGAGGCGCTTGATCCACGAGGCTCGTCGCGTAGGCACGTATCTTGTCGTGTCCACGTCAGACACACTCTGCTCGCTCGAAGGGTAGTTGTTTGCGCTGCTCGGCAATTGCAGCGCCGCATCGTCGCTCGTCTTCCTCCTTACGATTCGCAACTGGGAACGGCCTTCCTGGCTGAGTCGACTCGCAAATGACATGCGCGAGGAAGGGGCGACGGGTATGGGGGCACTGTAGGAAGGCGCAGTCGTGGTCATGGCAGCAGTAGACATTGGATTAAGACCCGGCTCGAATGCCGGTGTCGCCTTCTTCTTATTGAGGTGCGACGAGTCGAAGGGGGCCTCTCGTCCAAAGGCCAAGCCGACAGAGGATGTACCAACGACAGTGGCAGTGGCACAGAGCTGTATCACAAGGGTCCGTCAGTCATGGCGCCTAGTCAGACTTCTTATAACAGAGGTATATTGAGGTAGGACAGGCTTGGTGCAGCCATTCTCGGATTAGACGCAGTAGAGGTGTCGATCAAGACATATCAAAACAAATCAAGGGCAGCTGCAGCGCGTACAGAAGATCCACGGACTTTGAGATAGAGAAAATGCAGGGTAATTACCGTTGGAATCGTTTTCATTCTCGTAGGAAACCAAGCCGCCGGGGAAAGGTCACTCGTCGAGGCGCTTGTGACGACTTGTCGAGCATTATGGCATGTCAGGGTGCCGGTGAACCAGGGATCGCGAGCTGCACGAGTAGGGACGGTGGGAGTGGAGGGGCTCAATCAGGCGCTGGGGCAGGCGTACTGCATTACGAAGCGTAGTAAAGGAAGGACGGCACAAGCACCGCGACGGGCTGAAGCAGAGAGGTGGAGCTCGACGAGGAGCGAGCGGAAGACTGAAGAGAATCCAGTGCTTGTTGCTTCTGGGATCTACGTACAGGGCTACCCAGCTCTCTTTGGATTAGCGAGATGTCGCCGATGAGGGCTGATAGCGGCAGCTCGACTCGAAACATAACACGGAGGCACACAGACCCCATGCCTCACTTTGTACCGTCATAGCTCCACGCTGCGTGCAAAGTCAATCTCATCAGCCAATGCTGCATGCGATGCGACGTGCCCAAGCAAGAAATCTATATCCATGGACAGTGAGGGCCCGCTGCGGTGCGCGGTGCCCAGTACCACGACGTTGCGCAAGTCGGCCTAGGACAAGCTCTAGCGCCGAGTAACAATCAACAACAATCAGGGACATGGCGCAGAGAGGCTGGAAGAACCCCTCTGCCGTCAGAGCTACCCAAATATAGTGTACCAGCGAGCATCCCGGGCGCCCGTCACAACACACGGTGATTGGCAGCCGGCCGCTGAACTGCCTGGAGAGACCCCTGTAGCGCAGTGGAGATGTTTGCTGATCGCGGCGTACGCAAGTGTCAACCGGCTTATGTAGTCCATCGGTGGTAGCGAAGGCGTGCCTTAGACTGTGCAGCCACGGAGCTATCGCATGTTACCTCACGAGCACTCGGTACAGTCAACGGCAGAGAGACCTTGGTACCTACGAGCATGGCCTTGCCGTATAGATATTTGTTGAATCGGCTGTTTCGGGCACCAATTGCCCTTGTGGGAAAGCTGCTCATGGCCACGATCCTGGATAGCCGAAACGCACAGCACGTCAGCCCCAGAGCGGAGAAGTCGTGAGCAGCGGGAACATGGGTTGAGGATGGGACGGAAACGGTGACTGAGGCAGCGAATTCTGCACTCGGGGGATATCTCCGGCAAATGCGCGCACGGCATGACATATCCACCACGGGCCTGTAGCCATCTGTGGTTCTGAACATGATTTTTCTGAGGCCAAATCAAACGACATGGCCACATCACAGGTTGCATGCCGTAGCCAAGGCGGCTCCGTGTCCGGCCCAAGGCAGCTGGAGCATGACTACCACGGTCAGGATAGACTCCAGACGCTCTGGCAGACTATCGAGGCCGTTGTGCCCCTCCCTCTAGGCATAGCGGCCGCACGTTGGAGCTCATCTGGCAGACGGCTTGCTGGGCGAGCTGTGCGGTGCAGAGCCCAAGGTGACTGTGCGATGCGTGCTGTCCTGCGGGCACACAGAGATGCGAGTAACCGGGACAATCCCAGAAGCACATCATTGCTAAGGCGCCTCCAGACGCGTGGTGCAGATCCGCCAGCTCTGCCAGTCCACAAACGCAGAGATGGGTTGTCATGTTTGATGGGCTGTCGGCGTCGATGCCCTGATTGGCCGCCGCCCGCTCCTTCCAGAACCGCCGCCACGCCACATTTGGCTCCCCACGTCAAAATGTTCTTTGCCTTGGACAAACAGCCGTAGCACCGCAATAAGCAGAGACCGCCCACTGCCCCGCTATTACACTGTGACTACCGGAAAAGTCTCGATAGTACGATAGTATTGCCCGCTCGCCGACCAGGCCAGCGCCACCGTGACATCGACTGCGGCAGACGTTGACTTTGTCGGACAACGCACCACCCAGGATCTACCGCCAGCCCGCGACCATGGAAGCTGAAATCAGAACTCAAATCCCTAACATTGACCCCGTCCTGTCAGAGTACTCAGCGGGGTACCTTACCCATGCCGCCAACCAGTTCACTTCCGACTCGGACCCCAATGCCCCCTCACCGCTCGAGGAAGCTGCTGCCACTGTGAGCGCCCTGCTCCTATCAGCCTCTGGAGATCTATCAAGCCAGAATGAGACGAGTATCCAAAACCTTGTTGACAAGTTCATCTCCCGCCTGAATGCCGCCAATGGCACCGACGGCGAGCGCCGCCAGATGGCACCTTCAGCCAAGAAACTCGACCAGGCTATCCACGTGGGCTCTTCCAGGAACATCTCCTCCACGCTAGGTCTCGCTGGTGGCGCCGTTGATCTCGAGTCTGCCAACACACGTAAAGTCGAATCCAGAGTCGACCGCAAGAAGCTCGAGAAAGCTGAACGTAAACTCCGTGCTAAGCAAGACCGTAAAGAGTTCAAGAATGTTGAGTATGAAGCCTCCCGACTTCTCAACGAGCCCAACGAGGCGCAGAGCTACGAAGAGTTCTACATGGCCGTCAACCCACTGCAATTGGGTGACACTGCCTCGAAGAGCAAGGATATCAAGATTGACAGCTTTGATATCTCTATGCCTGGATTACGTATCCTTACCGACAGCTCTCTCACGCTCGCATATGGCCGTAGATACGGTCTGGTAGGTCAAAACGGTATCGGTAAATCCACTTTGCTTCGCGCCCTTGCTCGCCGTGAGGTCGCTATCCCTACTCACATCTCGATTCTTCATGTGGAACAGGAGGTTAGTCAGCATCCCCATCTCTATTTGCAAAAACTGACTTTGGATACAGATTACTGGTGATGACACTCCGGCGCTGCAAGCTGTCTTGGACGCCGACGTTTGGCGCAAGCATCTCCTTAGGGAGCAAGAAAAGATTAGCAAGGAGCTAGCTGAGCTTGAAGAAGAGCGTGCTAAAATGGCAGATACTTCTGCAGATGCCGCCAAGCTCGACACTCAGCGCGAGGGTCTAGATACTACTTTGAGCGACATACATGCCAAGCTCGCCGAAATGGAATCAGACAAGGCTGAGTCTCGAGCAGCAAGTATCCTCGCAGGTCTTGGCTTCTCACAAGAGCGACAGCAATTCGCGACCAAGACGTTCTCTGGAGGATGGAGGATGCGTCTGGCACTTGCACGTGCGCTCTTCTGTGAACCTGATCTGCTATTGCTCGACGAACCGTCGAACATGTTGGACGTCCCCTCTATCACCTTCTTAGCGAACTACCTTCAGGGTTACCCAAGCACCGTACTTGTCGTATCCCACGACCGAGCCTTCTTGAACGAAGTAGCAACCGATATCATTCATCAACACTCTGAACGACTCGACTACTACAAGGGTGGTAACTTTGACTCGTTCTACGCGACCAAGGAAGAGCGTCGCAAGACAGCGGTTCGCGAGTATGAAAAACAGATGGCCGAGCGTGCGCATTTGCAGGCTTTCATCGACAAGTTCCGATATAACGCCGCTAAGTCTTCTGAGGCCCAATCTAGGATCAAAAAGCTGGAGAAGATGCCTGTTCTTACTCCCCCAGAGGCAGCATACTCAGTGCACTTTAAGTTCCCAGAAGTGGAGAAGATGTCGCCTCCTATCATTCAGATGAGCGGCGTCACCTTTGGATACAGCCCTGACAAGATTCTGCTGAAGAATGTGGACCTTGATGTGCAACTCGACTCCCGTATTGGTATTGTGGGACCCAACGGTGCCGGAAAGACAACCGCATTGAAGCTTCTTATAGGAGCTCTTCAACCCACCACTGGTATCATCTCGCAAAACCCACGATTGCGCGTAGGATTCTTCGCGCAACATCACGTTGACGCACTGGATCTGAATGACAGTGCCGTTGGCTTCATGTCAAAGACGTACCACGGACGAGCAGATGAAGAGTATCGTCGTCACCTCGGTGCCTTTGGTATTACGGGTATGACAGGTCTGCAGAAGATGGAGTTACTGTCAGGAGGTCAGAAATCGCGCGTTGCCTTTGCGTGCCTCGCGTTACAAAACCCGCACATTCTTGTGCTTGACGAGCCGTCTAACCACTTGGATATTGAAGCCATGGACGCGCTTTCGGATGCTCTGAACAAGTTCCAGGGTGGTGTACTGATGGTCAGTCACGACGTTACCATGTTGCAGAATGTATGCACAAGTTTGTGGGTGTGTGATAACGGCACGATTGAGCACTTTGACGGTACTGTCAAAGATTACAAGCGCCGCATCACAGCGCAAGCAAACGATGCGGGAGTAGTAGCGAAACACTAGAGACGGGTTGAAAATATTACATATGTGACAGTAATGAACACCTATCCATGCTCGAGAAAATTGAGCCTCTTTGAGACATGCTTCGGTCCAGATTGCAGTTACAAGTCTTGGTGTTGCATTACTATGCCGGTGGTAACAACTCACTCCATTGTGCCTGCCCTTCGAAAGTTGGAAGGCACGCTAGACCCAAACCAAACGCCTGGACTCAATAACCACTCTCCGCGTCCATCGTACCTCATCACACGCACCACATCTCCCACGCAGCACAGCAAGCAAACACTTGCGTCCCTTTCACCTCGAATTCTGTTCCACCTAAATGCGCGTAGCTGCCTCGTGGTGCCCACGCGCTCAGGTTTAATTGACAGCGGCTACTAGCGCGCTTGCCCCTTCGAGCTCATCATCCGTCTTGTCCAATACACAACCATCGGCACCTTGTCGCGCACGCAGAACTCCAGTACAGACGGCTTGTCCGTAGTCACTCATTTGCATCCGAATCCCACCGATCGCGACTCCTCTCGTCCGCCCTACGCCGTCACCGCGCCCGCCAGCAGCACCGCAGCATTGACGACAGCCGGCGAATCACCCTACCCACCTCCCTTCTCCTCCCTCTTCTTCCCGTCCGAGGACGCTGAAGAACGCAGCAAGCTCGGTGAAACCACAGAAGACGAATCGCCTCCCGCATTCACATCTGCGCCTGCCTTTACCGAGTCATCCTCGTCTGCTGCCGCCGTAGCTGCCACTAAAGCCGCCCTCCCATCCGACTCCAAAGACGGCTCTAGTAGCAAAGACGTCGACGACGGAGAACCACCGCCGCCCTACAGCGAAGGATCAAGCCCGCTCGAGTCTTTCACATACGTAATGGCATCCGCAGGAGGTCCCGCGAGTATCATTACTCAGGTGTCGCAAACAACAAACGCAGGACCGCCAATCAACACACTCGGTGGATCAGATGAAAACATTACTTTGGAATTGAGGTAGTGACACCGCTCACCACACGCGATACTGGAAGCTAACTCGAGATTTAGGGGCACGCGGTTTACTCTGTCGCGAGACGAGCTTTTGACTCTCCCTGAGTTCGTCCTCCTCTCCCTCTTTCCCAATGGCCTGCTCCCAGATGGGCACATGAACTCCTACCACGATGGAGATGTATACCCAGTCGACGTTGGTAACCCCACTTCTTCTTCTTCTTCCCCTTCCATTCCCTTGGCTCCAGCAGCTAAGATCCTGTACCACCTTTCCAACCCCGCATTATATTTATCTGACAATATCTATCCTTCACAGTATGATCCAAACTCTTTACAGTACATGTTGGAGTTCTTCCGCACTGTAGCTCAGACCATTCCCGCGTCTCCTCCTTCGCCGACCGCTGCTCCCGACCATGCTGCCGAAGCTGTACCTATCGAGCCTATGCATGGCTCCGCTAGGGACATGCTACAGGATCGCGCTGGTATAATTGTCCTTCGCGAGGACCTCGACTTCTACGCTATCCCGCCGCACCGCGATATAACTCAGCCTGAGATGATTGAAGTTAAGCGAGCTGCAGGTGAGGCACTGCTAAGACAAGATGGTATCTTCTCCGGCCTCAGGAAGAGCGAAGAACCAGGAACGACCGAGCAGCACCTCATCGAGATGTTGACCGCAGGGTAAGCAAGATACGGGCAAAGTAGAGACTAGCAGCTAACAACATCTAGCGGCTTCAACCACGACGACCGATGGGGCCATCGTGCCGGCGAGCCTAACAAAGCCGTCATTTGCAGCATCGCCCTTGCACGCCTGAGAACGGACATTAAGGGTAACGATCTTGCTAATAGCAACGCTGTTGGTATGGCGCAGAAGCTGCTCCTCTTCTGGAGGAAACCCGCTCGCCGCTGCTGGTGGGAAGGTGTTGAGCTCGACAACGTTAGAGGTGTCGAAGGCAAGCTCAAGGTGTGGATAAGGAGAGTCTGGACGCTCGAAATGGTACGGTTGCTCTAATCTGCAAGCACAACTTCCACTGACAACATTCTAGAGCGTTATCGGCCTTCGCTAAGGCTTTCGTCAGGGCCCCCGCTACGTGTGGCGTATCTTTTCTTGACCTTGGTGGCGTTTCCCTGTTTACTCTTGACGTTTCAAACGCGGCATCACTACCGCCGATGAAAAGCACCGGCTGGCTCATCGTTTCCTATTGTTCTTGATACCTCTCTACTTTGGTTCATCATCACCTATGGAGACTAAGGCAGATGCTCTCCATCCCATAGCAAGCGTTGGCATCATAAGGGCTTCTTGAATTACATTGTTTTTCGTTTTAAGATAATCTACGGGTAAGGACGTACATATGCTTTGTATAGCAGTAGTAGTAGCGGCAGCAAGCGGAGAATTTAGGCCCGCAGTAAATTGTAATATCTCTTGTCAGTAAATCCCATTTTCTCAATCCCATCCATGCCCTACATTTCTCGTCAAAACTCAGCTCATTAGCAGCAGTCCCACTTTTCGTGTCGCTCAGCCTCAGAAGTTATGTCGTGGTCCCAGATACCTGGTTCGATAAAGGAAGAGGGAAAGTGTGGTGAAAGAGGAAGCCTGGGGATCCCAGCTGTTCAACAGGAACACAGCATTTCTCGATGTGGGGTTAGTTTGCGGACGGAAAAGCTTATGACGCCACAAGAGAAGAGGGGAGGGGCAGCTAAGACATTGTGACATGTGAGGCTGAATTCGGTACCGTAACCTCGTACCTTGCATGCTGTGCGCGTAGGGAAGAAAAGGCACAGCGTGGTGGCTGCATGGAAATTTCATGTCGTGGCTGTGGGATGCGAGACCAATATGGATTGGGGAAGTGACATGTTGTGGAAGGGAGATGATATAGGGACAGGGCGTATTGTCGTTTGGTTATTGGGCATTGCACTCGTAACTTTATGACCGGGTTCATTGGTTCTGCATATCATCTATTCTACAACCAGTTTTGTCAATTGAAACAAGGATGGAAGTCCTGTGAACTGTTCATAGGATTTCGTACATGATTTCAGGAGCATGACCACAGGAGCCTTCTACTAACAACCTAAGGAAACTCTAGATGCAGCTCGCTATCATGAACAAGAAGAAAACTCCCTGGTATGGCGATGTGAGTTGGTATTCGGATCTCCGTGCATAATAACCCAATAGACACTATAGCAACCGTCATCTTCCACATCGCAATATGGACAAAGCTACTTCTCAATCTGATACATCGAAATTCAGCGTTTTCGTCCTCGGAAGTCTAGGTCACAGCAGCAAAAGTGTCGGGCATACTAATGTATGAGCGGACGACACGTTGCTACGCGTAGGCGTGGCGGGCCGATGCATCTTGACCCCATGCATTACATACTACGTCCTGCGTGGTGTGTACGCTGAGCGGGAAGCGTCTGGTCGATGGGGCGTGCATGCAGCAAAATGTCCGATCCGATGTCAAAGGTAGAACATGCGTCTAGCGGTCACACTGGAACGTTGGGCAACGTTGTGTGTACGATCGGCTGTTGGGTTTGACGTATGCGTGCAACACAGCATGGATGTGGAGGACGATAATGAACAACGTTTGAGGTTGAACATGCACTGCAGACGTCAATACGTCAGAAACGGCTCAAGGGATACTCTTGCATATCTTTGGAGCTGGGGAGAGGGAGTGGGTTTGTGTAGCTGCACGTTCATCACAGAAGACATCATGAGTCAAAAAAAGTTGTTGTCGACGTGGGCATGGAGGCCCGCCGTTATTGTTCATTCCTCAGTCCACCGTTAAATTCGGTGCACTGTTACTGTTCTTGCGCTGCGTTTAAAAACGCAGTCTATCTCATCCATGTCGCACTCTTACATAGGGTATCATCTTCGGTATTGACCATGGTTGAAGGGTCAAGTGATGATGTGCAAACCAACGCCTTTTGAAACCCCGCCGAGCCCCGGGCTCGATGCTATGCCGTTGAAGACAAAGAACTTTTCGAAGTGGTATCATAACGTCGTGTTGAAACTTCCCAAACGCTGTACAGTAAGAAATCTAGTAACGGTAGATGTCGCTCTTGAAAGGACCCTCAACAGGGAGACCAAGGTACTCGGCCTGGACATCGCTGAGCTTGGAAAGCTCAACGTTGACGTGTGCCAAGTGGAGAAGAGCAACTTGCTCGTCGAGAATCTTGGGCAGAACGTAGACGCCGACATCGAGCTTGCCGGTCTTGCCGAACTCGACGTACTTGTTGCCGAACTCCTCGTCAGAGGCCTTGTACAGCATGATCTGGGCAAGGACCTGGTTGGTGAAGGAGCAGGACATGACGAAGGAAGAGTGGCCAGTGGCGCATCCCAAGTTGACGAGACGGCCCTCAGCGAGGAGGATGATGTAGCGGCCGTTGTTCATCAGGTAGCGGTCGACTTGGGGCTTGATGCTGGTGACGGACTTGGCGTTCTTCTTGAGCCATGCAACGTCGATTTCGATATCGAAGTGACCGATGTTGCAGACGATGGCGTCGTTGGGCATAACCTCGAAGTGGGCGCCAGTCAGAATGTCACGGCAACCAGTGGTGGTGACGAAGATCTGACCCTGAGGAGCGGCCTTCTCCATGGTGGTGACCTGGAAGCCGGAAACGGCGGCCTGGAGGGCGTTGATGGGGTCAATCTCAGTGACAATGACACGGGCACCCATGCTGTGGAGAGCCTGGGCGCAACCCTTACCGACATCACCGAAACCAGCGACGACGGCGACCTTGCCAGCAATCATGACGTCGGTGGCACGCTTGATACCGTCGACGAGAGACTCACGGCAACCGTACAAGTTGTCGAACTTGGACTTGGTGACGGAGTCGTTGACGTTGATGGCGGGGACGAGGAGACCCTTGCCCTTCAACATGCGGTAGAGGTGGTGGACACCGGTGGTGGTCTCCTCGGAGACACCGTAGCAGTCCTTGAGCATCTCAGGGTACTTCTTGTGGACGAGGGCAGTGAGGTCGCCACCGTCGTCGAGGATCAAGTTCAGGCTCTTGCCATCCTTGAAAGCAGTGAGTTGCTGCTCAAGGCACCACTCGTATTCCTCCTCAGTCTCGCCCTTCCAGGCGAAGACAGGTACGCCGGCGGCGGCAATGGCGGCGGCAGCGTGGTCCTGGGTGGAGAAGATGTTGCAGGATGTCCAGGTGAGCTCAGCACCGAGGGACTTGAGCGTCTCGATGAGGACTGCAGTCTGGATGGCTGCGACGGGTTAGCGGTGTGCAATCGCAGTGAGACGGGGGTGTAGCATACTCATGTGAAGACATCCAGCAATGCGGGCACCCTTCAATGGCTGGTCCTCAGCGTACTTGCGGCGAGTCTCCATCAGACCAGGCATCTCGTTCTCGGCGAGCTCAATCTCGCGGCGACCGAACGCCGCAAGACTGATGTCGGCAACCTTGAACTTGTGGGCGGGGGCAGACATTCTGGCGGTTTGTTGTGATGTATTGGGGGTATAGAGAAGGGAGAGGGAGTGTGAGGAGGATGAAGAAACAAACGTTCGAGGGAGAAAAGTGGGAGAGATAGCCCCGCGCTCTAGCAGTTGTTGACGCTAGTGGACCCTTAGACTTTGCTCCACATCGGCAGTTTACTGGACGAAGACAACTCACCGCCCGAGAACAATACTAGGACGCGTTGATAAGTCTATTGATGCGATTGGAGAAAAACGTGCAGTAGACCTTGGTTTTAGTTGGTAGCATCCATAGCACATCCATAGATGCGCGTACACATGGTCCAGTTCATCCTGTCTTCAAACCTCACGCTGCGGGGCATGAAACGACACCCTGTTGAGCATTTGCGACGCGCCACCTTCTCGATACGAATGCAGTAAGCTCGTTCGTAAGCACCGAATATCACCGAGTTGATCAACCACGTCCAAACGCTAAAAGTACAACACTCCGCTCTTGTCAAGCTCAGGTATAGTGAGGCACTTGGCCTTTATCGCCCTCGGATCCTGCCGCCAGCGGTGAGACGCTGTTATCAATCTTCTTAGGACCAGGCCTCTTAAAATGCGGCTTCAATGGCTCCCAGCTTTCCGCATTGTAGCCCTCTTGTATCTTCTGGCACTTTGTGAGACCCCAATCCGTCACGCCAATCATAAGACAGCTCTCGAACATGAACGCCATGCTTCCCTCACCCACCTTGTTGGGTTGCAGATCGACATTAGATGCTTTCTCATGAGTCGCAGCATCAGGTCCATGTCCTGACATGACATTGTGAAGAGAAGCACCGGCGGGCTGGAAACCTCCACCAGTCTTCGCGTCGTACTGGCCACCAATAAGTCCCATGAACTCTGACATGGTGTTGCGGTGGTACCATGGTGGCCGGAATGTGCCCTCAGCAACTAACCACCGTGGCGGGAAGATGACAAAGTCGGCTACTGCTGTGCCAGGCCGGTCTGTTGGCGCAGTGAGAACGGTAAATATGGACGGGTCTGGATGGTCAAACGAGATGGATCCTATGGTGTTGAAGCGCCCAAGATCGTATTTGTAAGGGTAGTAGAGTCCATGCCATGCGACCACGTCGAACGGCGTGTGTCTCTGCTTCGCGGCGTAGAGGTGTCCGGCAAACTTGGCGAGGATGCTCCATTCCGTTTCGGTGTCTTCATCAAAGTCGGCTATGGGCGCTTGGAAGTCTCGCGCGTTGGCGAGGCAGTTGGAGCCGATAGGTCCCAGCTCAGGAAGTGTGAAGTGGCCTTGATATAGCTCCAAGATGTAGCCTCGCACGGGACCTTCTGGCAACGTGACACGGTACCGAATGCCTCGCGGTATGACGCATATCTCGTTGGGACGTACGATGAGGCGACCCAACTCGGTTTGGATGTCAAGCACGCCATGTTGGGCCACGATCAAGAAGTCGCCATCAGCCGAGTAGAAGGCCTCATTAGCCTCCATGTCTTTCCCTGCCGCATAGATGAAGTATCCAACACCCGACTTCATTGTAGGGTCACCAGCACCAGCCACTAAATGTAGTGAGTGCACCCAGTCTACCGTCTCATCGAGATCGAAAGGGTCCCATCGTAGCTGATTTGGAATGTAGTGTATCTTCTCCCAAGGTTTGTTCTCGGGGTTCGTGTTGAAAGTTTTCGACTCGCGAGGTTCGAAGTTGCTGTGTCCGCACGAGGGTAGGATGCGGTAGAGCCATGTTTGCTGGTTTTCGTGACGCGGGGCTGTAAAGGCAGTGCCTGAGAGCTTCTCGGCATAGAGGCCATATGGAGGTTTTTGAGGAGAGTTTGCGCCGATTGGCAGCGCGCCCTCTACTGCTTCAGTCCTATATGTTATTAGTAGAAATTAATAGGCCAAGGTCATCTAGCCATACTCATGGTAGGAGTTGAAGCCATTCTGGTATCGGTATTTCTCCTTAAAGGCGAACTGAGTAGACGGCATTGTGCTGTTTATTCACACAGGATCAGTCAACTTTGGGGGACTTTCTTCGCAGACTGTAGTAAACAACGATTCAGTACGCGCACCGAGGTGCTAGACGTGTAAATATCCTTCGCGGATGCTGCGGGCATGCAGGGTCGCAGTAGCCGTAGCAAGCTTTCGCTCGGCCATGGCGCAGGCGCGAAATCGCGAGATGCGGTAATGGGCGGCTTCGCATTCCGTCGTTTGTCGCGTCGCAAGAGCAAAGCGGAGAAGAGATGCGCCATCGAGAGCGCTCGTGTCGGCTTACCCCACAAGTGGAGAGCGGGTGGCCCCTGTATGTTGGCAAGTGACGGAATCTTCCCGCGCCCGCCTGCATCCTTCTTCCGTCACAAGCCGGGAATGCATCCCAAGCACCACATGGCCCTGAGAATTGCGACCATGGGGCCGAAACCCCGATCCTGGGATACTCCTTAGTCTCTGTGAGCCTTGGTCATCATATCAATTGTCGGGGCGAAACTATTGTATGTGAAGTTGTTGAGCATTTGCCGCTACTACAACAGACATCCATCATGGCTTCACTGCGATCCTGGTTTAGCATACCTCGTGGATCGCACTTCTCACTAGCGAACATCCCCTTTGGTGTCATTTCAACAGCATCATCCAAGTCACCGCGGGTCGCAGTCGCCATTGGAGATCACGCTCTGGATCTCGAAGTCTTTGCCGCAAACAATGGCTTCTCAGGGCTCTCAACAATACAGCCGCATCAAGCTGTATTCTCACAATCGTCGCTGAACGCTTTTGCAGCACTTGGTCGGCCAATTCACTCCGTGGTTCGGAAGTATATCCAAGGTGTCTTCTCTGTGGACACGACATACCCGGACGTCCTGAAGAATAATGTTGCACTTCAGAAGCAAGCCCTGATACCGCTAAAAGAAATCAAAGCACATTTGCCATTCAGGATTGGTGATTATACCGACTTTTTCGCGGGTATGAACCATGCTTACAACTGCGGCGTCATCTTCAGAGGTCCCCAGAATGCGCTGCAACCGAACTACAAGCATCTTCCAGTCGGTTACCACGGTCGAGCATCTTCAGTGGTTCCATCTGGAACTCCCATTCGGCGGCCCAATGGTCAGATACTGCTCGATCCTACTGCGGAGAAGAAGGTGCCTGCTTTTAGCCCGTGCAAGAAGCTGGACATTGAGCTAGAACTGGGAGCTTTTGTATGTGGTTCCAATGAGCAAGGAGTGCCAATACCAATTGAGAAGGCTGAGGAGAACTTGTTCGGTGTTGTACTCATGAACGACTGGTCAGCGAGAGACATCCAAGCATGGGAATACGTGCCTCTAGGGCCCTTCAATGCGAAGAACTTCGGCACCACAATCAGCACTTGGGTTGTACTCGCGGACGCACTAGAACAGTTCAAAACAAAGGGATTGGACAACGACTCGGAGGTGCTACCCTACTTGAAGGAGAAGAGCGAAAAGAGTGTATACGATATCAACCTCCAAGTTGATGTCAAGAGTATGTCCACACGCGTACCATCTTGAGTATCACACGCTAATCATCTTCAGCGGCATCTGGCAACACAACAACGATATCGAAAGTGAATGCACGAAATCTGTTGTGGTCATTCCCACAGATGTTGACACATCATACGATCACGGGATGCCCTTTCCAACCGGGCGACTTGTTGGGCTCTGGTACCATCAGTGGTAATTCTCCGGCTGAGTATGGAAGCTTCCTGGAGCAGAGTAACAATGGTAAAGAGTCTATCGCACTAGAAGGTGGTGAAGAGAGGACATTCTTGGAGGACGGGGATGAGATCACAATCCGAGGTGTATGTGGTTCGGATGAGGAGGCTTTGGTTGGCTTTGGAGAGTGTATTGGTCGCATTGAGCCTGCTTTGAAGCTAAACTTTGCTTGAGCAGCTCGAAATATGTGGATTCATACTTTTGACCGTCAAGGTGCAGCACATGAAGTCCTCTAACTGATTGATACGATAGAACAGTACTACCACTGTGCGATGCTAGGGCTTCTCTACCGGGCTCGTTTTTAGTCAACTCCACATAATCGATGTTGGAGTACTATAGTGTCTTAATTCCCGAGCTTTCTGCGAACTGGACTAGCATTGTCGCATGTGCTGATCCCTCGATGTATCGTGCGAAGGAAAGATTCCGCTAACTACAGGCCTTTCGCATCTCCACAACATAGCATACGTCATAGCATGATTGAGATGCGCTGGAGGAACTTAAGCCTCCCCTGGTAGCACTTTGCTGTTTTAACATCTGAAGCACTCGGCATTCGGCATAATCTTAACATGCTCAACCTTTACAGGCTTCCGCGGACCCGAGGATCGGGGGGGGACTGGAAAGTAGCTTGTGTAGCTCTGAAAAAGTTTGCAATACCAACGCGCAAGTCTGAGGCTCTTTCCGCTGCCTCGATAGTTGAACTTGGCTCAAAGCTGCTCCATCGTCCCACCGAAAGTTTGTTGTACCCATTATCCCGTCCTGAAGAGGTTAGCCTATCCATAACGCGTCCCGTCTCCGCACCGTCGCGCTAATATCAACACCATCGTTCGCGGCATAATTCCGCTACAAACCACACAAGCTTCTGCGCACGATGACATCCAAGACGGCTGCCCCGCAGCGACGGAGCTACCTCGTTGAATCCAATGCTTGGATCGCTGATGGCCAGTCAAACGGAAGCTAATCATGCTGAGCCTGACCATGGGACGCCGCGTCAGGCTAGGGATTTCCTCTCAAGACAAAGCGCATGGCACTGGAGGTATCATGCTGCTATAAGTGCTACCGAAGGCTTGAGCTCCTTTCTGACTTACAGGTTTTCTTCTCTTACTTCTTTCGCGTCTTGCCATAGACGTTGAGCTTCTCCAACATCATGACTATCCCCATCTACATCGCTGGCGTTGCCGTCTTGGGGTTCTTCTTGTATAAATTGCTATATGGAACGGACACACCCCATATCAAGGGACTGCCAGAAGTCCCTGGTCTTCCTCTCTTCGGAAGCTTGTACGAACTCGGCACGAACCACGCGAAAGTAGCCCAAGGATGGGCAAAGAAGTACGGCCCCGTCTTCCAGGTGAGGATGGGAAATAGGGTAAGCCATAGTCTTTGCAGACAGAGAACACTCTGAAAGGATCGTTAGTGCTAATACAGTTATCTAGAGGATCGTATTTGCGAACTCCTTCGACTCCGTCCGCCATCTCTGGATCACGAACCAGTCCGCAATGATCTCTAGACCCATGCTTCACACCTTCCACAAAGTCGTGTCTTCCTCCCAGGGCTTTACCATTGGTACTTCGCCATGGGATGAGTCGTGCAAGAATCGTCGCAAGGCTGCTGCTACAGCTCTAAACCGCCCTGCCGTACAGTCCTACATGCCACTCATAGATCTAGAGTCTACCGTCTCTATCAAAGAACTGCTACACGACAGCAAGGGTGGAGAAATCGATATTGATCCGCGAGCATACTGGCAAAGATATGCTTTGAACACAAGTCTGACACTGAACTATGGATACCGGATAGACGGAAACAAGGACGCACCTCTGCTTCAAGAGATTGTAGATGTTGAGCGTGGTGTCGGAAACTTCCGGTCGACGAGCAACAACTGGCAGGACTATGTGCCACTCTTGAGACTGTTCCCCAGCCAGAGCAATGAAGCGATCAGCTTCCGAGAGAGGAGAGATGTGTACATGGATCGACTGCTCAACACCCTGACAGAGAAGATCGAGAAGGGGACGGATAAGCCGTGCATTACCGGCAATATCTTGAAAGATCCAGAAGCGAAGCTGAATAGAGGTACATCAAAAGCGTCTCGCTTTTAGTCTTGTTTATGCTAACACATAGTAGCCGAGATCAAGTCCATCTGCTTGACCATGGTATCAGCAGGTCTCGACACCGTCCCAGGTAACCTCATCATGGGTATTGCATACCTCGCAACTCCGAAAGGTCAGAAGATCCAGCGACGCGCATACGAAGAGATTATGAAAGTCTATCCCAACAACGACGCATGGGAACGCTGTCTCCACGAGGAGAAGATTCCATATATCACTGCGCTATATAAGGAAATTTTGCGATACTGGACCGTCATTCCTATCTGTTTACCTAGAGTTTCAATCAAAGATATCGAATGGAACGGCGTCAACATACCAGCGGGAACAACATTCTACATGAACGCATACGCCGCCGATTATGACGCGGAACACTTCAAGGATCCACAGGAGTTTGACCCGGAGCGCTATCTGGACGTTCCTGATGGCGCGGGAACACCACACTACGGATATGGCGCTGGCTCGCGTATGTGCGTTGGTTCGCATCTCGCCAACCGCGAACTCTTCACTGCGTTCGTAAGGCTGATATCGGCTTTCGAGTTCACGCCACCAGTGGACCCGCGGGATGAGCCTGTCATGGACTGCTTGGAGGCAAACGCTATCCCCACCAGTCTGACAATGGAGCCGAAATATTTCAAGGTCGGGTTCAAGCCAAGGAACAGGAAGTTACTGGATCAGTGGATCAAGGAGAGTGAAGAGCGAACAAAGGATTTGATGTAGACGAGTGTTGAGCACGATGATTGCTATGTAGCTGAAATGCCTATAGTAGTCCTGTTCGAATTCGAATCCTATGAAGGAAATTTTTTGTCATGGCAGACACTAGTTGTACCTACGCCAGCGGCTTGCAAGAATCCACCTTCATGGGTGGCAACATACCCAACTTAGCCATATCCTGATATGTTTCAAAGATGCTCTCCATCGTGTCTACAAACCCGTTAAATCCAAACCTGCGCACCTTATTCCCTGAAAGCGTACCAAGGAAAGCAAAACTGAAGTCGGCCATCACCAATGTTTGCTTGTCAGCTTCAGGCACATTCATCGTGAGCTGCCCGTTGGACTGCTTCATCATCTCCTCCCAGTCTTTCTCCACCGCCGTTTCTTCAGCCCATTTGCATAGAGGATGCGCCATTTTCACTTCGATGGGGGGACCGTAGCCTAACGGGCAGTCTTTACCGCCAGCAAAATATTTGCTCTGGTACTTTGACTCGTCATCGTCAGGACCGACAACATCAGCGCCGAACCAGCGCCCAAGCTCGTTCCAGAAACGGTCCCAGCTAATGTGCCCACCGTCTTGGGCGTTGAAACGTTGGCATTTGGCTGTATCCTCGAGTACAGCCCATTCACTCAGGTACCCGGTCAGGCGGGCAGTCGAGTGGGAATACTCCGACTCCCAGCTATGGAAGTCGGCAGGGTATCGGAGGGGCTCTTTCCTGTGTGCTTGAACAGCAGCGTAGACACCGTATGCGAGGAAAGTATTCATGGCTGCGGTTTGCACTGCGCCGATGACAGCTGCGGGCATGACGATGTTCCAGTCTGTCTCAGTGTGCTCCTCGCAGTACTTGAACAGAAGATCTTCTTGGTGGTAGTAGAAGTTCGGGCTGAGGTGTTTGGGCTGAGGGTCAGATTCGATGATTGGCTGGCGTCCACGGCCAATGTGCATGCCATAGTTCTTGCCTCCCGTCTGCAGGAGGATACGTTTAGGCTTGAGGTCAGCCTTTGGTAGAGAGGCTAGGAAGTTCCTGAAAGGTGGGACATTGGCTTCGATCAAGGCTTCTGCTGAGCTGGGGTCCATGTCACTTTTTCCATTTCCAGGGGGTAAGTAAGCATAATAGAAGACGTAGTCTGCTTCGACACCTGCATCCTTTAGCGATTTGGCGATGTCCTCGCCCTTGGAGCTGAGGTCGATGGAGATGTGCTGGAGCCGGGCGCGCTGCTCGTCGGTGAAGAATGCAAGAAGGTCTTTGGAGAATGGCTTTCGAGAGAGCGCGTAGATCTTGGACCAGCGATTGGGAGTATCGAGAAGGGAGCGGATGGTGTTGAATCCTGAGATACCAGTGGCTCCGCACACAATGGCTTTCAGACCCTTCACGCTTTCATCAAAGGTGGGTAGGTTGCGGTAGATGCCCGAGGTACGGAGAGGTTGATCCAAGGAGCTAGGCATGATTGTGGTAGACTGATGAGATGTTTAGATGATGGTTTGCCGTCGAAGTGTTTGTCTTTGCTTTCCCTCAAGCTGGGTTTCTCTTCCCTTTTATGTTGGAGTCGAGAGCAAGACTAGACGCTCGAAGCCTAGTCCACCTTTGAGACATCGTAAAGATGTAACCTCAGTAACACCGAAGCTTAACTCGATATCTTGCGCTATGCGACAATGTAGTCATCCATTAGGCGATGTATCTCGGTGATGAACCCACGAACTGAACCCACGCTCCACGTTGTGACGCAACGTGGAGCCAGTTCTCCATTATTCTTGCTTCAGTAGACCCTCTGCCAAGCTGTAGAGAAGTCCTAGTGTATCTGGGAAAAGAGGCTCAAGACCGTTAGTTCCCGGCCGCCACGCACGTCAACACCCAGGTGCATGTCTTTTGTCGTTACAGATCATAAAATCTAGCCTTGTCTCCAAGGCCCCAGTTGAAGAAATTAAGTCCACTGGTGTTACTCATCGTGTGCTAAGGCCCTAGGACGCTCAGGTGGCACTTCCAAAATCCAACATCACTCTATGCATAACCTGCTGCGTTTGGGCTTGCCAAGATGCTACGGTCGTCGTTGTTGAAAGTAGACACTGCATTCTATCAAAAGAAAGTACCCTAGACCATACCAGATCGATCTGAAGGTGCATCAGCCTATACTAAGTGGGTCCCGGTGCGGGTATCGGTCGCCGGGGAGGACCCCGAAATGCAAAGATTAGCTCCTTTCAATTCTCTCATCTTCTCTTCACGCCCCAGGTCCTTCGTTGTGTTTGTGCTGTGTCCTTTGTACGTCCTTTCGAGGAGATTTGAGGTGGTGTTCGGGGTCGGTCGATTTACAAGCCGATGACGTGACCATCCTTGGGTCTACCTAGCTAGGATCACTAGTAAATTCTCATTTCGTATCCACGTCATCTGCTTTCCTTTCCCATACTGCAGAATATTCGCCAATGTTATTGTTTTACGCTTCTTGATCTGCAGTGTTTGAGTTGCGATGGTTCCCTCATCTCTTGGCTTGAGGCATTTGAAATGGATCCGATCCTTTCCTCTCGCCCTAGCTGCATGTGTGCGTTTGTCAAATTGTTCAGCAAGAATATGGATGCATAAGCTGGCATCGACGGATTTGCGGTTACCAACGAAGCTCTGTTGCGGGCTGTTCCCGACCACATTGTTCCTCACAATCCAAGCACGATGATCTCCAACCCAAAGTACAACACGATATTGGAGAGCCAAGATTTCGTCCACTGTCGGCTATATGCCTGTCAGGCTGACAAGAATCTTTTTAATCGGCAAATGCTGATACGTAACTACCTCGTGGCATACGAATGGAGTAGAATTTGGCGCGCATCTTCGCTTTGTGCTAGGTAGCATGCATTGACATTTACGATCTCAAAACATAGTGTGGTGTAGAAAACCTCTCTGAGATTCTTCAAATAATGGTAATTGTTTCTATTGGAGTATCCTGGGTCTAGAATGGTTGATCGATGCTTCGCGTTGTATTTTCAAACCAGCCGATGCGACGGAATACGCGAATGTTTTGTTGAGTTTGTTGACGAAGAACGTAGCCGAACGGATCCCCATGTTTGTTGGGAGCCATATCTAAGAACCATATACGTTGACCGGTTTGAACGCTGCCTGGTACGTCGTTAGGCATCAAAGTTTTAGCTGAGGAAGGCAATATCTCATCTCCGTCTAGGTAGATCTCGGCTAAAGATACCTCGCGCGCGTCGGTAGAGTTGATGTGGAAATACTCCGGTGTTAAGTTTTCATCTAGCGAGCGTAAAGGTCCATTTATGACCAAATGTCCACCAGAGACGGCCCCAAACAGGTTGCTTGGGTCCACTGGAAGCACGTCGCATTGTATGACTTCTGCTACTAGATTCTCTTCCTTAAACGTTCCGGAAAAGGTAACAGTCCCCTCGACGGAAGCCCATGACCACGATGGTGCACGATATGTCGTTGGCCGTTTAGCATGATGAAAATCCTCAGCAGCCGCATCCTGTAACCACATCAACTCAAAATGGAGCGAAGCTTTCCATAAGCCAGCTAAATACCTATCTCCAGTGATGAGATGCATTTGCTGGGCAACACCAGATATTGCAGGAAGCTTATCGCTTTCTTCGGTGATCTTCCGTTTGCTGAGATCTATAACAGCGTCTGTCCATGTGTGATGTAGGAACATGGCTTGTGGAGATTTTTCAACCGTTGAGGCTGTCAAGGGAGAAAATATGTACGACTCTAACCTGTTCATGCCCATGTCGTATACACTTCCAGGATTCCCACCGTTGGTATATCTTGTAGTTTGACACTCCCAAGCCAATTGATAAGACCCGAACGACAGCACGCGTGGAGAAAGTAGACGCTCTTGGAGAGTCCAAGCTCTCTGATCGAGTGGCTCCTGATCTACACGACGCCAAAATTGCCAGTGTAGCGATACTTGACCGAATCTGCCATCGTCACAACTTCAAGGAAGATCCTCGATGATTATCTCACGTTCCGGTCGGACTCTTTTAGAGAGAAACCCGTCAGTACATCGCGATGTGTTTGCCGCTGCTATGGTGGCAAGTACATTCTGGTAGATGCTTGCCATCCTTGCAATTTCTCGATGCTTATCTTCAACGCTATCTTGTACGATGCATAGCGAATCGATCCACAGGTACTTGATTCCCAGCTGTCGCGAGAATCTGATGGCATCCTGAATCGTCTGCGGCAAACCCGTGATTCCAATACCGGCTTTGTGGCTTTCTATGTTCCCAGTCAACGTCCGTATTGGTTGTGGGCCACCCCAACTATAGCTTAGAGCGCAGTAGTGGTGCTGCTCGTTGCGAGGAACATACAGTCGGACGTTGCCGTTGCTAATATCCAAAACTCTTGTTGGCAACTGTGGGACCCTGAGCTCGGGACAATGTTCGTGGAGCTTGCACTGCTCGATCCATGATTTAGCTTGCTCAGCGCTAGAATCGACGTTGTAATTAACCGGAGACCATTTGATATCTGTTGCCGCAGGATCTTCTGAGTATCGTGGGAATGTCAGTTGCGACAAAAGACTACATACGGGAGTTTGTGGGTAGTACGAACCACGATGAGCTAAAATGGACCACTCGGTGCCCAAGGGTGGTTCCAACCACGGCAAGTCCTCGCCGTCGAACTTGATGCGGATCTGCAAAACATCTACGGAACGCCAGGCATCGAATTCGTTCTTAAACTTGAAGTACCGGACATTGAAAACGACTTTCGCATCCGGGCTGATCGTGCTTGAGCGGTGCTTGAGTTGGTTAATCAGGTAGCTACACATGCGACATTTGGCCGATGCTGCAAGCATGTCTTTCGGATGAAGAAGCGATGTAAGACCTTCCTTACTCCTAGCCATATCAAGATTTTCTCTGCTTGATCCAAATCCACATACACCCCAACAAACTGAGCACGCTTTGTGTATCCTGTGTTCCATGATGTCCATCAGGATCAGCTGGATATTGTTCAGTACTGTAGGGGCCTTGTTACGAGAACCGAAGCAGACTTGTCTTTTTAGGGTCTGAAGATTGAGTGAGAGCTGTATATAGAAATATGTCGTCTAAGAGAAAAGTTGCAGAAGCAGTGATGCGTATGATAACGGGTGGGGCAGACAGCACAGCAAAGTGATCCCGCCCCACAACAGTCAGTGAGCGGCAGAGATGAACTTCAAACACCAAAAGAGAATCAGTATATATGGCTCACGGTTCTCCCGTTTGTATGCGACGTTGTTGACAGAAGCTTTGTACAACCATTTCAAAATCTTACCTGGTTATCTGCGCACTTTCTCAATAGTTCTTCTTTGCTCTTTTGTTTGTATACTCGAGACTTCTAAAGCTTCACAAAAGCTCATCGCAATGGCTATCTTCATCGTAAGTTCCCACAGGGATAAGAGCTCAATTTTGGGTGCATCCGTCCAGAGAGTCGCCACTTCCGCATCCAGGGAGCAGTGTCATCGCAAGCTGTAGCACGTGTCCTAATAAGGAATGAGCCTCCGTGTTCGTCTGCTCACTTAACCACTCACTCACTTACTTTAAAGACTTGACCTCACCAGAGAAGCAAAACCACTCAAGGTCGTGACAGAAACTTCCTTCATTTTCCACCTTCACCAATACACGACACCTTGATAATTGTCAGACACCTGCATAAGCAAAATGTCTCCATACTTCGACAGCTACAACACCTCAATCCTGGTCATTCCAGCCTACGTCATCCGTAAGTACAATCTCTCCTATAAGATGTCGAGCGCAGTTTGTCGTTTAACCTAGCTCGCTCATGCCCAGTCACATTCCTGCCTCACGTCCTCGCTATCAATGTTGCTACGCTGGGCAACTTCCTCACTTGGGACAATCGCAATCCGCGTTCTAGCGACCTGAAAGCTCAGCTCAAGCAGCGCCTACCGGCTGTAACCTATGCCAAGTACGAGCGTATGGAGGCCTGTCATGCCAACGGGATGGAGGTGAGGACCTACAAAGCCTTTGTTCATCTGGCTGTCGAACTGACAATGACAGAATCTCCCTCTCTTCATCGGAGCAGTCATCCTAGGAAACATGGCTGGGCTGGCGCAGAACGAGCTTGCTAAGTTTGGCGCTTCGTTCTTAGCTGTCAGGATTGCATACACAATTGCCTACATCACGACTTCGACTCAAGCGCCTACACTCATTCGCAGTAGTCTTTGGATCGCAGGTGTCTCGCTGTGCTTCCGCACTATCATTCGGGCTGCTGGAGCCATGGCTGCCGAGGCCTAGATCGGCGAACGATGTTCGGCTGCGTCGAGATACTGAAGCATCAGACTAGATCGATGATCAGAACATAACACAGATAGGAGCAAGAAGGTCATGGGAAGAATATCTAAGGTGATAACAATGTCAATAATGTCAGCCTTACAGTAGCCATGGTGTCTACTCGGTGATGTGATGTTGTCCTCTGAGAAATACGGGAGCCTAATATAGGGGAATGCGATGACCTGAAGGATGCTAGTACTTACTGAGAGGTATGCAACTTGGTTCGGGTTGAGCCGTCCTGTTGCCTCGCCATTTTCGAAAAGCGCAATGCGAACGGCATGATAGTAGGCGCATTGATCAAGATAAGTCCCCAAAGAGTACCACGAACTCCACATGGACTTGATCAGACGTCGATATACAGCGGTCGCCCAGTCAGTAGTGCGGATAGCTGTGGGTCCTAGAGCTCACGCAATCCTGGGGCAGCTGAGCCGATCGCCCAACCGAACATTTATGGGTGCCTTGGGGTTCCACTTTCAGCCTTCAGGAGAGCCAAAACGTGTCAAGTTCTTAGTAGCGATCATAAGAAGCGTTCCAAGTAAAGGAGCAGCAGGAAGCAAGAAGTCCCTCACCGCAACTCCTTCAACAAAACGACGATAAGCGATCGCCGCCATTGTCACGTGTCAGTGGCACTTGCCAGCTTACGAACAGTGCCCAGACTTCGCCGCGCTCTTTCCACCACATCTCTTCAACGCAGCCCTTCCTGTGCATCGTTTAGAGTACATCACATCCACCCGCCCCATCCCCGAATACCACCGACTCTCTTGAACCCGTCCGTAAGTCAATCGCTGCTGCATTGTTTTTTCTGCACTTGCTTTGCCCAGCCCATAGCGGGCGCCTGGCCAGCTCTCTCTGGTGGCCTCGAGTCGTCTCCGCAACGGGCGCTCAATACGCCCGCGCCGGCCATGCGACTGCCGTCATGCTGCTCAATACATGCCGATAAGGCCACGATGCTCTCCCCAACACTCTTCTAACAAGTAGCGTCGCAGGTTCGAGAGTCTATACACCGCCTTCCCACTCGCCCTCACACTACCACACACACCCACCGCAATCATGGGTCTCACATTTTCGAAGCTCTTCGACAAGCTATGGGGAAAGAAGGAGATGCGCATTCTCATGGTCGGTCTTGACGCTGCCGGAAAGACCACGATTCTCTACAAGCTCAAACTCGGTGAAATCGTCACCACCATCCCTACCATCGGTACGTCGCCATCTACACGACAAGATCCAACAGGGACAATGCGCTGATTCTTCGACTTCTAGGTTTCAACGTCGAGACTGTCGAGTACAAGAACATCCAGTTCACCGTGTGGGATGTCGGTGGTCAGGACAAGATCCGTCCTCTGTGGAGGCATTACTTCCAGAACACCCAGGGTATCATCTTCGTCGTCGACAGCAACGATCGCGACCGTGTTGTTGAGGCGCGTGAGGAGCTCCAGCGCATGCTGAACGAGGACGAGCTGCGGGACGCTCTCCTCCTTGTCTTCGCCAACAAGCAGGATTTGCCCGTAAGTTGCAACGACAGCGAACAGACATGTGCAAACGACTGACGATGCGATACTAGAACGCCATGAACGCCGCTGAGATCACTGACAAGCTTGGTCTTCACAGCCTCCGACAACGTGCCTGGGTGAGTTTCGAGTCACTCCTACTTCCAAAGCGTCTCCACTAACTCCCTGCAGTACATCCAGTCGACTTGCGCTACCTCCGGAGACGGTCTCTACGAGGGTCTCGAGTGGTTGAGCAACTCCCTCCGCAAGGCCGGACACAACTAAGTTCGGCGGGCGCGAACCGTAATGTAGCGAGTCACGAAAATGCCAACCGTCTGCTAGCACAGACCCTCTTATAACGAACGCCCGCCCCATCGTTGTGGCAGAGCCCAGCCACGACGCATCTCTACAAAACCACGGACCCTGAAATGTATTTGCATCGGTGTCAAATGTCAGATCGGATGGTGGAGCGGGGAGACACATGGTTTCTCTTCTCTTTTTCACCATTTGGAGTTTGTGTGAAGTACTATGCCATTTCGTTTCTGGGATCGTTGGGAAATCAGTTCTCTGGTTACTTTACGTGGTACTATCAAATTTGAGTCTCTTCTTACTATTCACCGCTTTGATTGCATGTGTGTAGAGTGATTGCAGTTTGCTTCAAAATATTCATTGCTCCTTTCACATGTAGGACTACATTGCGCAAATCGTAATACATGCCAGAACGCCAGTCATCCCCATCCAGACCCTCACGCTACCCATGCAAGGCGAGAAATATTGAAAGCTTGCTGATGGGTACTCCATATCAAATGGCGCCCATGTTCGTTACTGAATTGGAATACTATGCCCATGTTTAAGACGCGGGTGCAGCCTGCTGCCCATGTGAGCTCTTCGGCGGTGCGTTCTCCTTGGCTGCCGTGATTGGTGGGAGTAGACCTTTCTCAGCCCAGAGGTCGACCAGCGGCTGCATGGGCTCGATTTCCTTGTCGCCGATCAAGTTGAAGAGCTTGCCGACGTTGATGAAGTGAATGAAGCACGTGTTTAGCTCCTTGTACGCGCTCACGTTCCAGAAGGGATCTAGCCAGTGGCCGTGGTAAATGTGTGCATAGCACCGCATCATCTGGCGGTAGATACTCTTGATGTCGCCTTCAAAAGTCTCGGGGAAACCAGACGACTTGCCGAGCCACTCACGCCCGGCGAGTTGGGACAATGGAGCATTGGAATTGCTAGGAGGGAGAGGCTGTGGGGTTGAGGTGGGCGTCATGGAACCAGAAGCGTACGTCGATGCTCCGATGGAAATGGCTGTGGTGTCTGTGGGGAAGATGTTGGGGTCGTTGATCTTACCTACAATCCACTTTTGTACGAGGTTGATGTACTGGATTGCAGGGATCTTGATGGGCTTCTTGTTGTTGTCCAGCCAGGTGTAAGTATGGCCGCTGGCAGACATTGTAGGACATGTATCTGGGTTGCAGACAGGCTTGCCTGTCCTGTCGTCTACTACCTTGATGATCTCAATCATCTGCTCCAGTAGCCGGTACTGCTCAACAACTGGTCACATACTTAGCGACATCGGGATATTGGAAAAATCAAATCATACCCTGATGTGCGAGCCATTCACCCTCTTCGACAAGCTTCGGCTTTGCAGCCAAAGTCATAAAGTTACCCTTGACAATCAAGTTGGAGTACTCCTCGCGGAAGAAGAAAGGCGGTCTGCGGGAGCCAGATGGCACGGACCCATCCGACGGAGCACCTTGGCTTTCGAACGACATGGCAGACGACAAAGCTGGAGAATGCGGCATAGGCGGTTGGCCGGGAGGTTGTTGAGAAGTTGGTGATGCCGAGTATGGTGTTGTTGGTGATGCAGAGCCGCCTTTGCCCTGCTGCTGCTGTTGGCCCTTGTTGGATCGACCAGCCAATCCTTGGCGACTATCGGTGAAGTTGTTAGAAAGAGGAAAAGACAACTTAGGCCTCGGACGACGCTTGTTATAACACAATAGGACGGCAATGTGACGCCGAAATAAGGTGCATATCAAAAAGTGAAATCGTGAGACGACATGCAGCAAATGGCCTGAAACATTCAGGGTGTGTACTGGGGGTGGGAAGCGCGAGCATTTGAGGAAGGGGAGCATGTGCCAAGCAACTTACACGTTTGCGAAGAAAGAGGCCATGATTTGCGGATTCTGGCAATCTAGTGCGGGGGGTACGGGGCGGATACGTCCAATGCACCTAGAGAGGCCGGCTTATGAAGGTATGCAAGAGGATTGAGGGGGAGGATGTTGGTGATACGTCTCGAGCGGGCACGCTTTTTGGGCCCACTCTCCTAAGGGCTGCATCGAGAAGGGGCGGCGGGCTAGGACCGTTTGGGATAGCGCGGTTCTCATCTTCTGGTGGTCGGACTTTGTTCACTTGAGCTACCAGCTGCTGCGCGTAACCTTTACCGGAACTATCACGTCAATTCCATTCGCAAATCGGGCACTACGGTCGCGTCGCTACATCTCGAGTTTTTCAAATACGGCACCGACAAAAAGCGCAATCCAAGCCACCAACCGCGACCATGTCCGACGCGGGCCACGACCCTACGCTCTCCGACGACGAAGGCAATGGACAGGCAGCGCCTGCTGAGAATGCCGACGAGGGCACTCCGCTGAACACTGTCGAAGAAAACGGTCTCGAGGATGATGAAGACGACCTGTTTGGTGACGGCGACGACGGCGACGCAGCTGAAGACGCGCCAGCGTACGTCGCGAACAAATCCAGTACCAGTACCAGACTGACATATCCAGCTCGCCCCGAAAACTCGACGATGCAGAGCTCGATTCAGGCGATGATGAGGGACGGACAGATCGCGTCAGGGCACCAGAGGCCGTAGAGGAGGTCGAGCAACAGACATTCGCATACATGGACGCGGACCTGGCGCGGCATCCCGTTCCTGAACCCACAGACAACGAGCTCTACCTTCTCAAAGTCCCACGCTTCCTGTCATTCGAGGACAAGGCATTCGATCACAAGACCTTCCAGCCACCCTCCACAGACCATCACTCCAAGGTCGCCGCGTCCGAACACTTCTCAGCATACGACACCGCCATGACCACAGTCCGATGGCGACGCTCACCCTCAAATAACGCTCTTCTACAGTCCAACGCTCGCATTCTTAGATGGTCGGACGGTTCCCTGACCCTCCAGCTTGCGACCGACCCGACGGTCCAGTACGACATCGACGCGAATACCCTTGCTCCACCACAAGTGAACCCTAAAATCCCCACCCCAACGGCTGTCAGAGACGAGAAGAATGGTAAGACAAGCTCGAAGAAGGAGAGCTACACATACCTTGTTGCGCCGTACGAGGAAGCGAACGTCATGCGCGTCACGAACAAGCTTACAGCATCTCTCAACGTCGTCCCTACATCAAACACGAAAGACGCCGCGCTGGAGAAACTGCAAAACGATCTTGCCAAGGTTGCAGCAAAGGGCCGAGACGATGCCGACCAAGCCATATCCTTCATCGACGTAAACGAAGACCCCGAGCTCCGTCGACAACGTGAAGAAGCCACATTCAAGGAGAAGCAGAGACAACTGCGCGCTCGCGAAAAGCATGAGGAGCGCCAGAGAGAACGCGCGAACCGTACCATGGGTCGCAGCGGCGGTCGTGCGGCAGGAGGAGGCCTCGATATCGATGGACTGGAAGACCGCGCAACTCGTAAACAAGGCAAGAAGAGAGGCGGTTTACAGTACGACCTGAGTGACGATGAAGATCTTGGTGGTCCAAGGAGGAACAGAGAGGACAGCTACGAATCAGAGGACGGCTTTGTCGTTAACAGTGACGAGGAACCAGAGATTGTCAGTGACGACGATGATCCAGATGAAGGCATGGCCCCGAGTCCAAAGCGTGCACGGGGTGGCGTTGCGGCAGACGATGATGACGACGATGAGGTTGTCGTTAGCCGGACGAAGCGGAGACGTGTCGTTGACGACGACGATGATGATGAGTAAGCTCTTCAAAGAGGTTTTCGTTTGCGTAAAAAGCGTTCCTATATTCTCAGCTGTTAAAACGAGAGCTCGGATCTAGCAACAAATGCTGGAGGAGTGGAACATGGCAGATATCCTGACGGCACGGTCTGTGCGATGTACATTTCAGGATCCCTTGGAAATCCATATACTTTGAATATGGGTCATCAGCATAGCCAGGAGTTTGGACGCATCTATGCATTACACCTATTAGTTATACTATTGATACATTACACGGAGCATGGTGTCAGTTCATGTTGGGGTTTTATGTCTGAACAAGACCAGCGATATACTGTGCGATATAACTTGTCAGTTCTGGTTGTACTTCTATAGGCCGCCACATGCGATATTCACTACTCTGGTATACTAAAGAAGTACAGGGTTGTGGATTCTGGTAAGACCTCATACTTCCTGGGATATCCGCTTATATCAGGTATCCGCTTGCCTCTTCTATGCTAGTGCGCTGCATGCTCGATTCGTGTACATGTATGCTCCAAATGCGTGTGTTGAGTCACTCTAACTCATGCATATTCATGTAGCATTCCGGCCAAACTTTCTGCCAGTCACTCAGAATAGGTACTCCAATAGTCATTCGACATGTCCACTCAAGAACCTCTCCGTCTAGGATGGATAGGCCTCGGATCGATGGGCCTGGCCATGGCAACAAACATCCAGAAACATCTTAAAAAACACAGTCTACCGTTGTTGAAGTACTGGAACCGTACAATCTCAAGAGGTGATAGTTTGAAAGATATCGGAGGCACGCCATGCCCCTCAATTGCAGACCTGGCTCAAAACTGTGATGTGATATTCATCTCAGTACGTACCTCTGTGCGACAATCATTATGTAAGATCCATCTTTAATGATTGACAGGTCAGCGATGACACAGTCCTCCGATCTGTCACAGAGACCATCTTAAGCAGCGGCTCCATAACCTCCAAAACTTTTGTGGACACAACAACAGTCCACCCTACCACCACATCAACTATCACCAACAACTTCACCTCCGCGGGCGCCTTCTATATCGCCACCCCCGTCTTCGGCGCCACGCCCCTCGCCGTCGCTGGCCGTCTGCTGGTCGCCGTCGCTGGTCCTCCTTCTGCTATCGAACTTGTTCTCCCCTTTCTCGAAAATGTTATCGCGCGCACTGTTATCAGAGTTGGTTCCGAGCCCTCCCAAGCCCTTCTGCTGAAAACGACAAGCAACTTCATTACTGCGGGTCTCATGATGCTCCTTAGTGAGGCGCATGTAGTAGCTGAGAAAACGGGCCTGCCAGCATCTGTTCTTGAGTCTCTGGTTGAAGAGAACTTTGGAGCCTACGCACATGGTGTTTCGAAACGTTTAACTAGTGGGAGCTATTTACCTGCTCCTGGCCAGGCACCTTCTTCAGGGTTGGAGCTTGGAATCAAGGATGTCGGCCATGGAGTTAGTCTTGCGAAACAAGCGGGTATGACGTTGGGTATTGGAGAAATGTATCTTGGGGCAGCGGAGGAGGCGAAGGCCTATGGAGATGAGATGGGAAGAAGATGTGATAGTAGTGCTGTTTTTGGAATTGTGAGGAAGAGAGCTGGCTTGGATTTTGAGTCAGACCGTGTTCAAGAACGAGATACAGAGAGGCAGGGTGAGGGGATGAAGTAATAATTAACCTAGCAGGCAAATGCTACTCATAATACTTAGGGAACAGATGGCGGCGAAGTCGTACGCGAAGAGAATAGAATAAGTGATTCCCTTGAATCCCAATGTTTCACAGATTTCCCGACGATGTTCCCGACCATGAATTGCTTCCACGCTCTTCTCAATGCAGCGTCGGAAGGCTGGCAAGGCGTACGCAAGGTCGTCATTGCAGAAGTAGAGGCAGAACGAGAAGCTGTGGAAAAGAGATAGACAGCTTATTTCGGGCTGGGTTATTGGCGATACACAGTGATTAAAGCAGTATGTTGATAAATGATTGAGATTCTTTTGCATGCAGGCGATCCTTTTTAGTCTATGCAAGATTGAGTGAACAAAACTCGTCTATATCCAGATGGTCTAACCCCCCCAACTACGCACCTCTTTCCGCAGCTTCTCGTTCTGCCTCTACTTCTGCAATGACGACCTTGCGTACGCCTTGCCAGCCTTCCGACTTCTGGACATGGCTGACTCTCTTTGGCAAGTCCTCCAGACCCTTGAACTCAGCTGGTAGCACCTTGTCTTGGAAGTACTCCTTCTGCTCTGGAAGTGCGAGCTCTACGGCGTTCGCAAACTTGGCCGGGTGCGCTGTTGCGAGCGCAATGTGGTGTGTGGATGGGGGCTTAGATACCTGAGCCGAGCGTAGTGCCGCATGGATGCCGATGGCGGAGTGTGGGTCCAGGACATAGCTCTTTGACGCCTCTGCGTTGAAGATGTCTTTGATGGTTTGGATGGTCTCTTCGTCGCTGACACGATACGAAGCGAAGTCGGACTGTGCTGCTTCGAGGATCTGCTTGTCGACCGCGAAGCCACCATTTGTCTTCAAGTCGTTGAGCCAATTCCGTACATGGTCGCCAGCTTGGCTCCTTCGTTGCGATACCGCATCGGAGTTTGTGCTGTATACGTCGTACGAAAGGAACCAAAGCAACCGCTCGAAGTTGGACGAGACGAGGATGTCCATAGCCGGGCTCAGTGTCTCCTTGACTCCGCTCTCGTGTGCCTTGGCGCCATCCTCAGGAATGCCGCCCTCGGCCTTCTTTCCGTGCACAGGCTTCTTCTCGTACTTGCCGGTCTCCCAGAAGCGGTGCAAGATGTCGTTCTCGTTTGTAGCAATGACCAGCTTCTCAGCCGGTAGGCCCATGCGCTTCGCGAAGAAGCCAGCAAGGATGTCGCCAAAGTTGCCCGTGGGCACGACGAAGCGGACGGCGGACGCTGGGAGGAAGGAAGGTTGCTTGATGAGGTCGAAGTAAGAGTAGAAGAAGTAGGTGATCTGCGCGAGGATACGAGCCCAGTTGATTGAGTTGACGGCGGCGAGGCGGTGCGTCTTGTTGATCTCGGGGTCTGCGAAGAGGGCCTTGACGAAGTCCTAAGACGCGTTAGTTCTGTATTGCGGATCCGCTGAGGGTGCATACCTGGCAGTCGTCGAATGTGCCGTCTACAGCCAGGTTGTGCACGTTGGCGTCCATGACGGTCGTCATCTGCGCTTCCTGAATCGGGCTGACCTTGCCATGCGGGTGCATGATGAAGACCGACACATCCTTCTTTCCGCGCAGGCCGTAGATGGCTGCGGATCCGGTATCACCACTTGTCGCGCCAATGACGGTCAAATGTTCCCGATCGCGGCCGGTCTTGCCCTCGTTCTTGCGGACGAGGAAGTACTCGAAGAGGTTGCCCAGGAATTGCAGCGCGACATCCTTGAAGGCGAATGTAGGCCCGTGGAACAACTCGAGCAAATGCAGGTTCTTCTCCTTATCGAGTGTGACGGTGGGCACGACGTCTTTGGCGCGGAATGTCGAGTAGCTGCGGTGGATGATGTCCTTGAGGTCTGCAGACGGGATCTCGGACGGGGAGATGTAGAGGGAGAAGATCTCGAAAGCGAGGTCTGCGAAGGAGAGGTCCTTCCACTTGGACGCCCAGTCATCGGGCAGCGTGGGGATTTCCTCGGGGATGAAGAGGCCGCCGTCGGAAGCGAGACCCTTGAGGACAACTTCCTCGAAGGAGAACTATGCGTGGTTAACATATGACTGAGCGCAATCCCCGCCGGTCCTTCTCACGTCATAAGATCCTCCTCGGGTACTCAGGTACCGCTGCGATGCTGTGTGAGAGGCCATAATGTGCAGAGTCAATTAACAATCCAGCGCGACACAAAATAAAAAGTGAGAAAGGATGACAGTCGCTGTGTACCTATCAAGGGCAATGTAAAGTAATAGTCCCCGTGGGGAAAAATGTTGTTGTAGCTCCGGGATCGCAGTTGAGTCAAGGGACTACATCTCGCCCTGTCAAATTCCAGACCTTATGCACGCGTGGACTAGACTGCTGCATGATGATAATTGGCGTCTCAGTAACTTGACTGACAATCGCCTACGAACGGAGCCGCACAGCGAAAGCTTTATGCTTCATCCAAGGCAACTGAGTTTGTCCTGCTGCCCCGCCATGCGCACATGTCCTGCCCCGCCGTCCGCTGTGCCTGCATCAATGGCGATGTCGGCACCAACCTATGACAACATTGGTGCATACTCGCCCATACAAATCATCTGGTTTCTCACAAGCTGCTGCGAACATCTTAGGTAGAGAGATGCATTTTCCCATGTTCCTTATTTTTGTAGACCAGGACACTGCGCATGGAACTACGGTATGCTTTGACGATAACAACCCAAAAAGACCATATTCTTTCTCATTATGAAGAACTCGTGCAGTACGACGGAACCCGGTCATACCTAGATCTGCCTGCAATACAGCTTCTTGGAAAGTCGTTTGCGTTAAGGGATCGAAGTGCTTACCAAAAGATTGATCAAACTACATAGTTGCTATATACATAGACTATTCATGCATATGCGAGCATTCTCATAATACAGCCTAGATCACTTCACGATAAATCTGCGTTGTGAGACACCAGGTTTGAAATCTGAAGTACCTCCGGCCTCTACAGCGATACGAATTGACCGTAAAATCTTGCAACAAGATTCTCTTACCATAACCTGTCATTCGCATCGCCGCAGCGCTAGAAAAGCTGCACAATCAAATCGCGTTACGGAAAGTCTGAAGACGTGCTTCCTTCGGTATCAGAGCTGATATATACTGCCATGATATCCCGCAAGTATGTGCCGCGCTGGACGTATACTTCAGCTTGACACTTCACGATGTCTGCATTCATGGCAGAGGCTGCAGTGCTTCAAGTATTTTACGAATCATGCTCGTAAGAGCAAAGCGTTGCGAGACTACTACCAAGGCTCCGCTATCAGAAAGAAAAATCTGTCTGGATGCGCGGTTCGCAAAAGAGTCCTGTTCATCTTGAAGTAGAGTTTGATTAAGGCTAGACGAACCGCAAGGACCATATAATGGATATCGGCGAAGTTCGTGATGTTCGTTGACTGGGCTACTGTGAGAAGATCCGACCTGTCGTGCCGTGTTTGCTGTCTACGAAGCTGCTTGTTTTTCATCTGCTGTAGGTCATGATGTACCCTGGAGGTACACAGTGTGTTCCATGTTGGAGGACGAGCAAGACCCAACTTAATGTATACTTTTGAGTAGATGTTGATTGTCAGGTATGGCTCGGAGAGAAGGACCCCGGAACTTCTTGTAACCTCGAAGAGGCTCGTTCCTTGGGAAGTATGCACAAAACCAGAATGTACCCTGGAGGTAGTCGCAGCGTTTCCTATCTAGGAAGACCATGACAAGTGTTAGTGTATACCTTCACGCTAGGGTTTGCTCCTGTGAACGGCGAGCATCATCGTACTATGTGTTGCGCACGGCCAGTCGGCAGCACGCCGGCAATTCAGCGGGGCCGGCAGAACTTCGGCAGAAAATTCTCGTCTACGAGTGCAAAGATTGCGCTTTTTTGTCGGTGCGTGCGGGCCCGTGCGCAACTTCCAGTGTGTATTTAAACTCGTCGTTCTTTGGAATCTTTTCTGCTCACTATGTCGATCATACTTCATAGAATCATTTCTAATAGTATGCATCCTCTTCTGAGTTACTCTAAGTAGCCACAGAATCTCCATCCTGGTTGATGACTATCAGCCTCGGTGTCCTAGAGTGAGGCCTTATTTACGATTGCTTCGGCGATCGTGGCGATGACCTTGTGCTAACCAGCTGTGTACTTCGGTCGCACTGGAAGGCAGGACGTTGACGGCAATCTGACAGGCCTTCTTTTTTCATTGATCTTTTCTGGCTTGCCAGTTGGTCGAGGAAGAATATTCTCCACAACTCCGCAACCTCAATCTGTCATCTGGACTTCGCATCCTCAATACCCACATGAACTCTATCTCGTACATGCGCATGTTGATAGTGGCAGCAATGCATGGAAATCTATCAATCTATGGGAATCGCATCTCCCCAAGCACTTCTCAACACCACCCATACTTCTCGTTCGCGATCCAGTCAATCTTGTCAGCCACTGGTCCATCGTGTTTAGGGTACCACTGCAAGCACGCGATGCTCTCCATGTCCCTATGAATTACCTCTGCAGCTGGGTCCAGCGTCTTCGCAGCTGCTAGCGCCGCTGGTGAGGGTGCCCACATCTCTACATGCTCCATCTTCCATTTCTGTGCCTCTTTCTGCGCCATGGCTAGGAGTGCTGCAATAGCAGCATCGTGACCCTGGTTCACAGATGCGCCATTCGTACTACCCGAAGAACCCTCCCAACTGCCATCCTCGATGACCAGGCGTAGAATATGCAGCGTGTTGCCCTTGGCTTCAGCTGGATTTGCGTTGTACCACATTCTTGTCCAGTAACACCAAATGCGTTTGCCCTTCTCCGTGCCGACAACAGCGCCTTTAATCTCTGGTTGCTTGCCATGCAGCTCATTACCTACAAACTCTTCACGCGCGTGGTGCCACCGAATAGTCTCGATATTGGGTATCAGAGCGACTGCAGTGTTACTGTCTTTCGGTCGTGACTCCAAATTCCGGCGGACGGAGGCCATGTCGATCCTGCACAGCTCCTCCAGATCCTCTGCGTACAACGGACGGGC